ACCCTGATGCCTTTGCCAGTGCCATCGGTTTCATGTGCCTCTTTTCCTTTGGGAGGTAGGTGATGGGCAGTTGGGTCCATTTGCCAGCCCTCTTGACAGGGGCTTTCATGGTCCTGATGCCACTTTCAGACCCTCATCCTGTACAAAGCACAAAATACTTAAACTGAAATATGGTTAATTTATTCATATTTTGTTTCATCTATTCATTTTTTTCTTCTTTCCTTCATATTTGCTCAACGTCTTCAAGTTTATATTCCATTATTATAGGTACAAGAACAAGGGAATGTAATACGAAAGTGGCTTATGTGTCCAGTGGACTGTCTCTTGGTTACCTCTCAACTTCTCTGGCTCCAAGAAATTCCCTTTCTCCTTTCAGCCTCCGCCTTCCCACCACTATGTGGATCTCCAGAGTATCTCTCCAGGGTGGTCCTCTTGTTGGAATGAGCATGTTTCTGCCTCTTCACTCTTGTTTTCTCACTCATCTTGCTAGATCCAGATCTTAGTGGGAGAATTATCAACTTTCCTTATAGCTTCTTTACTCTTTTCCTCTTTTTAGACAAACTCAGGAGTGTACTCACCCCAAACAAACAAAGGAACTGCTTGGTAGGAACAGGATGAGGGGAGTAGGATGAGGTGACTGAGGCACTCAGGGTGCAAAATTTAAGGAAGTGCCCACTCACCTTACCCCAATCCCAGCCCAATCCATTTTTATGGCCATCCTTCATTTAGAGGACCCTCAAAGCCAGTTCTTCACCATGCCCTTGTCCCATACTTGCTTCTTTCTTCTGACACTCACTTACAGTCATGTGCTGTGTGACAAAATTTCAGTCAACAATGGATTGCATGTAGATGGTCCCGTATGGTTGTAACATGGTACTTTTCCTGTGCCTTTCCTGTGTTTAGATGTGTTTCAGACATAAGTACTTGCCATTGTGTTAGTTGCCTGCAGTATTCAGTATAGTAACATGCTGCTCAGGGTTGTAGCCAGGAGCCATAGCTGAACCACACAGCCTGGGTGCGTGGTAGGCTGTGCCATCTAGGTCTGTGTAAGTACCTGGGATGTTCGTATGATGACAAAACCATCTCAGAACATTTCCCTGTTTTTAAATGACACATGGTTTACTTCTTATTGCTACATCCACTGCTTAAAAAAAAATCAGCACAATTATATGAGGGACTTTATCTAACAAATGTAATCCGTGTAACCTAATTCTTTGTACCCTCAGTGAATCCCAAAAAATAAAAAAAATTAAAAAGGTCAATAAAAAAAAATCAGTCCCCAGTTACTTGCGGCTTCTATGTAGCATTTGGCAGCGGCATAGTCTCTTAGTATTGATCTCCTTGTGAACCTAGCTTTTATGCATCTCTTTTCTACTTGCCAACCCAGTCTGCCTCCTTTGGAGAACTTTTCTCCTCTGGACCCTTAAATATGGTTTTTCCTCATGCCTTAGTTCTTTGACCTTTAAAAACACTTTTTCTATGGAGCTACTTCAGTTCCTCTCTGCAGGTGATTCCCACATCCATATGTCTGTGCTGTGCCCTAGTCTTGTAAACCCCGTGTCCTCTTCAGACCCAGAATTCCAAATGAATCATACTCACCCCTGTCTTCATGAAAGTGGCTTCTCCTTCTTACTGCCATTCATGAAGCCACCTGTGTCTTGGGTTTCAAGCATCAGCATCATTATTGCCTTCCTCATGTTCAAACACTAGTTCTGTACAGTGTTTCTCCTGTAGCTCCTTTTTCTCCAATCACACTGCTGTCACCAAAGCCAAATTCTCATTATTTCATGTCTGACTATTCCAACAGCCTCTTCAATATGATAACTAAATTTGTATTAGAAACCCACATTTTGTGAAAAACCTATTTTTGTGCTTTCTTTTTCCTTTAAAATGTATTATAGAAATTTTGTTAGTCTAAGAGGAATTTTCTAACTTCAAGAATGAAGGATGGGGACAGCATGACTCTGGGGCTCTGGAGAATAGGGGCCAGGAGTTCATGCCTGCAGCTCCCTTCATGGAGTATCTGAGCCCACAAAGAGGGGCTTTGATTGTGGAGGAGGAAGAGGACCAAGACAGAGGAGATGCTTGGAGGGACAGCACTGAGGAAGGCCAGGACCCCCATTCTAGTCTTCCCTGTGTCTAGCACAGAGTGCCCTCCGGGCGGGGATAATCGTGAATTGGTACAAGTTGTGATTTTGTTCTCATATCTGGCTCCTCATGTCTCCCCTTTCTTCTTCCTCTGTTTATTCCTATGCCTCTTCTCGCTGTCCCACCCCTCTGCCCCCGTGTCTCTCTTGTTTCTTTTTCCTCTATGGTGGCTCTCCCCAATTTTGCCTTTGTCTTCACTCTGGGCTCCTCCTCTGTCTCTCTCACCCACTGCTCCTTCTTGCCTCT